ATTGCTGTTTGAAATCAGATCAGGAAAAAGAAAACATCCCACTCTTGCCTGGAGGCTCAGTATCACTTTAATATAAAAAGTAGCCTCGATTTCCAACCCAGGCCCAGAGCTTCATGGGAGTTCCTGGATGTGACATTCTACATCTGTCCACCTTCGATATCCTTCTAACATTGGGTTTACAAAGGAGGAGCACCAGGTCCATGTCACAGCCCAGACCTATGCTGGGCCCCTCCCTCACAGATCTGCTCAGCACCTATGAAACCATGGTGTCATTTAAATGTCACTTGAACCTCACCCTTCTTCAGCCCTTTATAATAACTCTTCCTTTGGTGAGGCATCCCACGGCCCCTCTGGTCTCTCTCAGTGTGACAGCTTGGTAAACCCAACTGCAAACCCACCAGGTCTGTCTCTGGTGGTCTCAGGCTGATGGGGCCCGGCCTTGCGTGGCCACATATTTATGGGGAGACACTAGTTAGTTTTTAGCAAGGGAATTAGTGGTCAGATTTATTCTTCAGGCAGATGGCAGTGGATGGAGACGGGTTAAAGTCCTCTGAAATGACACAGAGGACAAACGACAAGAAATGAATTCAGGGCCGAGTGTGGTGGTTCACGCCTGTAATCCCAGCACTTTGGGAGGCCAAAGCGGGTGGATCACCTGAGGTCAGGAGTTTGAGACCAGCCTGGCCAATGTGGTGAAAACCCATCTCTACAAAACATGCAAAAACTAGCCAGGTGCGGTGGCACACATCTGTAGTCCCAGCTGCTCAGGAGGGCTGAGGCAGGAGAATCGCTTGAACCCAGGAGGTGGAGGTCACAGTGAGCTGAGATCGTGTCACTGCACTCCAGCCTGGGTGACAGTGAGATCCCGTCTTGAAAGAAGGGAAGGAAGGGAGGGAGGGAGGAAGGAAGGAAAGAAGGAAGGAAATAAGGAAGGAAGGAAGGAAGAAAGGAAGGAAGGAAGGAAGGAAGGAAGGGAGGGAATTCAGGTGGTGGCATGGAGGATTGGAAGAGCAGGCAGAAGCTTAGGACCAGGTGACTGACCAGGTGTGGGAGGGAAGGATGGAGCTGAGGGTGTGACAGGGAGGACAGGTTACTGAGAGTGAAAATGGCCGAGGCCACACAATTCCACCCATTGCCACGGAATGCAAGAAGGCAGAGGAGCAGGCCTGTGGGAGGACAAGAGGAGGAGGCCAAGCCTGCAACATGCAGTGTCTGCATGCCCAGTGGAGTGACCTTCTCCTCCTCCTGCAGCTTCCAGACCTGCAGGCTCTCTTCCCGCCCCCTGCCCTTCCCGGGGCATTCACTTTCTCCAGACTCCCAGATGCTTCTCTTTGGTTCTACGCCCAGCTAATGGTCAGCCTGTCTTCCTAGGGAAGGGACCCAGGGCAGAAACTCCTTCCACCCTGGGGCCGGACAGCCCCTGCCATTTCTACAGAACCCAGCCACCATCCTATCTCCCATTGCTCCCACAGAGCAAAGCCTTTCTTCATCATAGACCCTCACCATCGTTTGTTTGGATCATGTCTGTAACTCTCGCCTCTTCCTCTGCCAATATTAGTTAATTTCCCAGAACTAAATGCCCCAGCAGAGGACACAAGCCTGGCGTGTGCTGACCCAGGGCCAGCCTGCCTCTCGATGCCATCATCTCACTCTGTCCCCTACCACCGCCGTGGCCTAACGAGACTCTGCCGTCCCGGCCCCTAGGAACAAGCTCGCTGCCCCTCTGTCTGGGATGCCCTGCCTTCCTTCCCGACCTTGGAAACCCCACGTGTCCTCTGTAACCTTGCTCCCAACCGCGCTCAGCTTGTGGCTCCTACTTTCAGGCCTTTCCCTGTGCCCCGGAGAACCGGAGAGAAGACTTTCACACGCACTGTCCTCAGTAGGCCACATCAGACCCTGAGGTTGGGGCCATTGCAGTTATTGGAGGACTGAGTCTGGGAGGAGGCCCTGCCTTGCGATGGCATCCCCTGCCTTAGACAAGCATCTAGACGGAAAGGAGACCGCCCAGAGCCGGATGAGATGCACAGGTTTCCTTCTTTCTAGTCTACACCTGTTTCTGACATGTCATTCTAACACTAATAGGGATTCCAAATGTTCTTGTTTTGTTGATAGAGTAAAATCCTGCCTGGGTGCAGTAGCTCATACCTATAATCCCAGCAATTTGGGAGACTGAGGCAGGAAGATTGCTTGAGTTCAGGAGTTTGAAACCAGCGTGGACAACATAGCAAGACCCCATATCTACTTTAAAAACATTATTTTTTTTTGAGACGGAGTCTCGCTCTGCCACCAGGCTGGAGTGCAGTGGTACAATCTCGCTCAATGCAACCTCGCCTCCTGGGTTCAAGTGATTCTCCTGCCTCAGCCTCCCCCGAGTAGCTGAGACTACAGGCACACACCACCACGCCCAGCTAATTTTTGTATTTTTAGTAAAGACGGTGTTTCACCATGTTGGCCAAGATGGTATCGATCTCCTGACTTCGTGATCTGCCCGCCTCAGCCTCATTAAGTGCTGGGATTACAGGCGTGAGCCACCGCGCCCAGCCTAAAAACGTTTTTTTACTAGGGTAATATCTTAACTTTAAGAACACTGCAATGGTGGGAAACTTCCTCCCTTCCTCCTCCCCACCGGCCTCTGTTTCATGTGCCTGGGGAACCTAACAGTGTGGCTGGGATCTATTGCCAGGTACCCCTGTTTATCTGGACTTATCTGGAAGAATGTGGAGAGTCCCACATATATTGGCTTCATCAGTCTACTGCTACCAAGCCAGGGCAACACGCTGGGGCCCTTGGCCACGACTGTTTAGTCACATAGGAAGAGTTGTGGCTGACGTTAGGTGTCATTGGAGTTTGAGCTGTCAGGTCCTTGCTGAGAAAAGTGGGGCCGTTCAGACAGAACAGGGTAGACAGGCGGGTTCTCTCACTACTGGACGAGGTGTCCCCAGCCTGTGCTCTGTCCCGGGAGCAAACAGGCATGCACCCTTCTTTCCAGGACACTGGTTAAATGCAGAGCCAAAGAACACTGTAGCTCTGATCCCGCCCTGCCAATGACAATATTTCCAAGTGGGCATTGGATACGAGTTTTCCAGAGCCAAATATAACATGTTCTTTCCTTGATATCACTTAACAAATCTCTCGACATCCAAGTCCTGTGTGCACAACACTGAGAAAATACCTTTCAGTGGCTCCCAGCCGTGAGCTCTCTCCACCCTGGAGTCCCTGGTCCCGGAGTATCTTCAGGGCCCCCATTCCCAGAAAGGTACAAACTCCCATGAACCTCCCAAAGGAAGAGAACACTCAGCATTACCTGGTTGAGCAAATATTTAACTTGTAACAAATAAAGAAAGGTTGCCTACAAGAGAATGAGAGAGATGAATGTTAGTGTTTCGGCCTTGCCACACAGCAGTGAGGTCACATGGCAGGGAGCTGGGAGCCACAGCCATGCCTTGGCTGCCCTCTGCTCCCGCACGGAGCCACAGAGACTGGCATTTCAGGATGGGGCTGAGGCCAGGGGGTTATGGCCCGGGGGCTTCCCAATTCTCCTTTATGGGTGAATATGCCCCAAGCTTAGTCCCTCCATCTGGCAAAAGGGGATGCAGCTTCCCTGGTTGCATGGCCAGGACTCTTCTGGGGACACTGGCATGGAAAGGGGCCCCTGGGCAGACTCCAGGTGGGCACCTCCATATAGTCTGGTCTTATATGGTGGAATCATGAAAGACTGTCACATTGACACGGTTTCAGGATAAATGAGCGAGCACAATGCCAATTCTGAGGGCAATTGGTGTCCCTAGATCCATACATTGAAGCCCTAGAGTCTCCAATGTGACTATTTGGAGGTCTTCAAAGGGAGATTAAATTAAAATGAGGTTTTAGGGTGGGGCCCTAATCCAATAGGACTGGGTGATGAATGCATGGGGGACAGCCTGCAGAGCGGGGCCACTGCAGCCAAGGAGACAGGCCACAGAGGACACCAATCCTGCCGCACCTTGACCTTGGACTTCCAGCTTCCGGAACTGTAAGAAAATAAAGTTCTGGCTGGGCACGGTGGCTCACGCCTGTAATCCCAGCACTTTGGGAGGCCGAGGTGGGCAGATCACCTGGTCAAGAGATCGAGACCCTGTGGCCTACATAGTGAAACCCCTTCTCTACTAAAAATACAAAAATTAGCTGGGTGTGGTGGCGCCACCCGTGGTCCCAGCTACTCAGGAGGCTGAGGCAGGAGAATCATTTGAACCCAGGAGGTGGAGGTTGTAGTGAGC